AAAAAAAAAAAAACCTTCATAGGCAGTCAAATATCCAAGGAGAGAGACTGCTTGAAAAATAGAGTCCTGGTAGTTTTACCTCTATTTCCTTAAATACTATCTAAATATCTTTCTTCCTATGGGCTTCCAGGTTCCACTTGTGCAGGCCTCCATGGCAGTGTCCAATCTTCAAATCTTCACTCTATGAAAGCACAGATTCCTGAAAGGATGGCCTCAAATGACCAGGAGTAGCGCTCTATATCCCTGTTCCTGAATAACAAGCTAACCAGAGTCTCCATCAGCTGCCCCCAGCATAGACACATCTCCAATTACCCAAGTGAACTTCACAACTGATTGGCCAGTGAATCATGCCCCTGACCCAGCCTACATGAACATTGGAAGGCCATCAGTGAATTATGAAAAGAAGCAGAGGTGAGGAGGCACCTGCCCTGGGCTATAGGTCTATGTAGTTCAGCAATCTCCAGCCCCTAGTGCTCAAGAAGCTCTAAGCCACCCTTCTGTAAGTCAGAATGGAAGCACATGATACTACATTTCTATCTGCTGTAGAGATTCTTCCCAATGTCTCAAAATGTTTTAGCATCTTTCAGTAAAATTCTTCAAGTTTGTCGGTTATTGATTTAAAAAAAAAAAAAAAAAGCAACCTGTTTAATGCTCCCTTGAACTGTCTATTTTAATGTGCCTTTGTAAACTCCCAACATCTTGTGTTCTTCATCTTTGTAGTTTATCTTTATTAAACTTGTCATAAACTCCAATATTCTGATCTATTACTGAAGAATCCATATTCCTATCCAATCCAGTGTTGTTTCTCTTCAAACTTAGCCTTCTCTTGCTCATTCCACTCTTAGCCAATTCCACTGTGTTCACCAGTTAATTTCATCCTCATTTTATCCACTGGGTACACTAGACTCCCTTCCCCTTTGTATCATCATCATCATCATTATTATCTGAGACAGAGCCTTGCTCTGTCACCAGGCTGGAGTGCAATGGCACGATCTTGGCTCACTGCAACCTCCGCCTCCCATGTCCAAGCAATTCTCCTACCTCAGCCTCCCAAGTAGCTGGAACTACAGGTGCCCACCACCATGCCCAGCTAATTTGTTTTATATTTTTAGCAGACAGATTTTCACCATTTTGGCCAGGATGGTCTGGATCTCTTGATCTCATAATCCGCCTGCCTCAGCCTCCCAAAGTGCTGGGATTACAGGTGTGAGCCACCCTTGCATGGCTGTAATCCCAGTTATTTGGGAGGCTGAGGCAGGAGAATTACTAGAACCCAGGCAGCAGAGGTTGCAGTGAGCCGATACTGCACAACTGCACTCAAACCTTGGTGAGAAAGCAAGACTCTGTCAACAACAACAATAACAACAACAACAACAACAAATGCCCATAAAATAAAAAAAGAAGGGTGAGTACTGGCCTTTAAAATGAGTTTAAATCTCATTTCTGCCACTTCCTATGTCCAAGAAGAAAACTATCCTAATCTATTTGAGTCTCAGGTTCCCTATCTAGAGAAACACTTGACCAGAATGTTTAACACACATTGAAGTACTAGAGGTTAATTAGTCCTATGATTCCTTAAAATTCTGAAACTCTTCATGCTTTTGATTGTCTACAGGAAAACTGGGGATACATAGCCAGCAGAATTTGAAAAAATAATAGAACAAAACAAACACCAAAAGCAGAGAACATCAAGAGAAGGTTATAGAAATGTAGTGGAAAAAGAAAACACGACTCAAAAAAAAAAAAAAAAAAAAAAAGGTATTGTGGAAGTAGGCAGAAATACTAGCCTAAAGGGAAAACCAAACTGGGAAGTCAAATAATTTCTCTCTAAGACTTGTCTAATCTTGGTTTTGTAAAATTTACAATCCTATGGTCAAACCTTTACACTGCCCTAAAGCCTTTGATGGTAAAGATACTGGTTACCACTGAAATTGTTGAATTTATTAGGACAAACTCTTAGACCAACCTCATTTCTCACAAAAACCTTAAATGAGAGCTAACATATAACTAGGTTTGACTATACTAATTAATCTGATTCTAACATATATCTTGATCCAATTGCTGCACAGATCTTTATTCATCTTTGCTGAGGAGCAAAAGAAAGATTTGGAAGCCAGGCAGGCTGATGGTTTAACTGTGAGTCAGCTACTTTTTAAACTATGGGGTCGTGAGCCAATTAACCAACCTCTCTAAACCACAGTTGCCTATTTAATAAACAGTAGGTTATAAGAACACTGATGTTGTGATGGCTTTCTGAGATCAATGCATAGCACATAATAGGGTGGTTAGCCCAGAATACAACACTCAACAGATATTAGTTTCTTCCATCTATACTTCCTTAATCAAATTTTTTAAATCTGTAAAATCCTACCTGGCTGCAGATTCATCAGAACTCCCAGGATTTATTAAAGGAAAAGGTAAAATGCATTGTAAATCAATAATAAATATATAGAACATTAAAAACATAAGAAGGCAACGTCATGCATGCCTGTAATTTCAATCTACTTGGAGATGGAGGCAGAAGGATAACTTGAGAAACCCAGAAGTTTGAGACCCCTTTGGGAAACATAGCAAGACTCTACCTTTATAAAAAAAATTATGCACACTTGTGTACAGGCTTTAGACCATTTTTCTTTAAAGTATAGGACTGATGCTTTGTTACAAAGCATTCCTTTGGGAGCATACCTGAGACCTTCTTAGAACTAATATAAATTATACCTATTGGTATGTGATTAGAGCAGTAAGAACTCTTAGTTCCCTTGCTTTGTATTTATTAAATGCAAAGAATAAATTTTATCAAAATTTGATATCTACAAGTAAACTTCAGTATACAAGTCATCTTAGACAAACCATATGAAATTGACTAAAAATGTCATTGTTATCAGGACCGGTGTGATGAGTGACCAGTGTTAAAGAGCATGATTTCTGAACCAAAATATGAAGGGCAGTTAAAACAGAGTAGACAGTAGTTCCCTTATCCACGACCTGTGTGGAAAAGACATACTCGCCATGTTTTTCTCTGCTCTCACACCACAGCAACAATCATCAACAAAGAAGGCTTCCAGAAGAAAACGTGTGGAGGGTGTTTCCCCAC